CCAGGTTATTCATTTCTGCAGACAAGAAATAATAAAAAAAAAAAATGTAGAGATGGAATTTTTTGTTACTGAACTTTATGGTTCCTATTTGACAGGCAATTTTGTTATACTTGCTGACTAGAGACTTAGACAGTGTGGAGACTTGATCGTTGCTTTGGGGCAAATGGACTGCAGGAGGCCTGATGCCTTTTCTTTTTTTTTAAATGAATTCGAGCATGTATGGAATCAACGGCTTTGAGTGCAGTGGGTCTTCTCTGGGGATGCTGCTTCGTTCCTTTGTAGGCCATATTTTTGTGGATAAAAACGGGGATCAATTAGACTTTTTCCATTCAGTGACATTTGTTTCTGCAGTAGTCCTCGCTCTTTTTCAGAAGTGTTTTGCTGGATTCTTTGCAAGACCTATAATCTTCCCTTCATCTTGCGTATCATTTCTAATTTTTTGGGTGGCATCAAAAGTATTTGGGCTGTCCGCACGTTTGGAATTCAAGGTGTCATCCTTGATGACATGTTTACGCAAGCCTCACTCCTGCAAATAAAGCAATCTCACATAAAAAAAGCTATACAAATCATTACATTCAGGAGTTAGTTTTAGCCTATACTGTTTAAGGGATACTGTAATCCAAGATAAATGCAGTTGCTTAAATTTGTGTTTTGTTGCTCTGCAACATGAAAAATTGTTTTCTTCCCCGCTTGACTTTACCTTGACTTTGAAGAACTCTTTGATTCTCTCCACCAGTATAACGATGTGATCCTCCTTTGCTTTTTAAGGGTTTTTATGACAATGGTTAATTTAGGTCTGGCCATCTTAAATTTAGATATTTAATTTAAATTCTATTTGTACATTCCTTTTTGATATTTTTGATATTTTGTGAACCAACAAACCTTGTTTTTAGTCTCTTCATAAATGTCAATGCATGAGCTGTTTTACCAAACTTTAAAAGGAGGATTGGTCGATGGCCACCAATCACACGGTATGTGGTTCAACACCTTGCTTCTCCAGGTCACATGTTAAAACATCCAAGGGCAAGATATCGAACCCCATGTTGCATCTAAGAATGTGTGGATGTATACAAGGACACACTTTATAGCCAGTATAGCTTTAGTTACATTAGAAAAGCAGTAGAATAATTCAGTACTTTTACCATTGAACACACAGTGGCAAACAACTTTTTGGTAAATCTTCCTGCCATCAAATTTAATATGAGTTTTCCCAAGGCAGCAAAGTGTCTTACAGTCAACACTGACAATGTTTGTGAAGAATAATAAGCGAAATACTGTTTTTGAGATTTGCAGATCATCATATGGTTGTTATTCTAATTCTACCATCAGAAGGTTTATGATAGTCTGCACATAACATTAGTTCAGTGTGTGAGTATAATTCTTAAGATTACCACAACCGTTCGTAATTTACAGGAGTTTCAGTAATAAAATAAAACTCTAAAGTTAGTAAAAATAAGTGTTTTTTGTTATTTAATTGTCACGTACGTCACTGATGTTTCTTGCAAAGAGGTGCAAAGTTATAGCATGAAAATGTTCTCATAAAAGGTAACAAAAATTCATAGATATACATTCACTTTCTTCCGAGGGCCTAAGCTTCCCTATATGTGTATCAGGTCACTGCACGGTCTGTAGTCTAAGTGTCATATAAAAAGAAACTACAGCGGATGTTTGGAATTTATCATAACACATCCGGCAGAGTCTCCAAATGAGAAAGAAATTACCGAGGTCACATGAGACTAAAGGGGGATTCCTTTTAGCTTATATGTGTCAGCATGTGTTACTTTCACTCCATGCGTAGTGAGGGATTATGGGTATGGCACCATTGCAAAAGAAAACTTGCGCGCAGTCCTTGAAAAAGACTAACGGCATGTTGCAGTTGAAGGGAAGGGCATGCGTAATCGTGAGGGTGCTTAGCTGAAGTTTAACTTGAGCTTGGAGGGAATGAACACAACGCATATTTCATAATAAAAGTAAAAAAAGAATGAGACAGTAAATAACAGACAAATTCCTGTACTCATACAACCAGATATGAGCTTTTTGTTCATGTGTTTCTGTTGGATGATAAATCTAAAGACAAATTAAAAACCACAGACACAAATTTGAGTAATCTGCCAAAGTTTCACAAATAGCATCATAAAGACACCAACAGAATGCTACAACAGCTGGATGTTGTTTGAAATATGTCAAGATAGAACAGATACTCATACGCTGGGTACATAAAACAGGCCACAAAAGACAACAATGGATGTGACGCAAACAGTGACACCCTCAACCCTCATGGACATTACAGTGAGGCTTGGTTGTGGCAGATTTATGCTTGATCTTTTATTTTTTGCTTCTCATGTTTGTTGGCAGATCCAAACCAGACTATGACGGAAGTGGTCAGGACAGACTGGATAGAAAAAAATAATAAGCAGCTCCTGGGGCAGGTTGAACTTCCTTAGCAGATGAAATACTTCCTCTACTGGGCCTTCTTCTAAACAAGGCCAATGTGGGAGGTCCAACTAGGTCCCGTGAGATTATGGATACCAGGAACCTCAATGGGATTGTTTTGTTAAGGATCGTGAAGGGGTGGTTGATGGTGGGCTCCTCTTGAGTTTCACAGTCATCTCCTCTGAATGCAGAGCTTGAGTTCACAAATAGGATCGGTTCTCAGGTTTCTGCAGAGTCGAGGTGGAGCAGGAAGACTGCAGGGGGTCTAGCAGAGGACGTGGGGACTTGAATTGGTGGAGTGCCTGAGGAAAGAGGGTACATTCCAAAGCTCCTGGCAGCTTCAGCAAAGACTTTCAGGCAGGAAAGAGACTATCCATTACGTCCTTCAACCTACCTGGTCTTCTCTCTCTGAAAGAGCTGATGCAGGTCCACCGTGCCGAGTTTGGGGAATAGGTAGGCCTTTTTTTGATGGAGATATTGGGGGGACTGAAGGTGCAAAAGTCCTGTCAAACCTGCAGTAGAAGTCGTTGAGATCCTCAGCCAGGCAGGGGCTACCTACAGGCTGGGGGGTGTTTGTAATGGTTGGTAATCGACCACATGGAAGTGCAGTGAAGTAAAAAAGAGAAGTGGTCTGTCAGCTTCTCAGCGTAGTTCCTATTTACGGCCGAAATCTCCTCGGTCAGCTTGTGACCTACCTCCTTGTACAGAAACCGATCCTTACCCCTTTAGCCATTCTCCTTGTCCTGGTTTGGATGTCTCAGTTTTGCAGTGAACCGTCATTTATTGTCGTTGAATGTGCAGAAGGTATTGATCTGCATGCACGTGTCCTCACAGTAGATGATCTGAAATGTCAGACCGGAATGTCAGTTCATGCAGGTCTGAGATTGCCGCTTCTAAGACGTTCCAATAAATGCAATCAAAGCAGGCATGTAACCTCATCTTTAACTCAATAGTTGGTTACTTAACAGACCTTGGAACAAACCGGCCAGATTTCAGCTTTTTCCTGTAGATTTGGGTTGAGATGGACAAAGCAGTGATCAGAAAGAGGGATATAAATTATTTAATGCGGTTTAGCAGTGGTCCACCTGATCATGTCACTCGTGGGACAGGTCACATGCTGTATGCATTTAGGCATTTAAAAAATAATTAGCAGAGAGTCCGAGTTTGTTTTTTCGACATCCATAATCTAATCTGCTGATGCTGAAAGACCTCCTTTTACAAACGACTGTGGATGAATATACACACCGTCCAGCACAAACAAGGAGAACTCCCATTACAAATAAAAGGGTCTACAGTCAAACAAAAAATATTTCGAGGGCTGCATGTTTTTCTGCAAAGCATCGACTATGAGGGGGGGTTATTTTCATTCACAAATCTTCTGTTTTATCAATTTATTTTAATCATGTTAGAATTATTTTTGCAATAATTTTTATTGCAAAATCTTAGGTGAAAAATGATACAAACATACCACAAAAGCCATTTTATTGGGACGTTATGAGGCAGGAAAGAAGGGGAAAACTTAACATCTGCTCAAATGTATTTGAGTGGTTGAATGTAGCTATAGTTCACCACAAAAAAAGTAAATTGATGTTTGATTGTTGAGTAGAGAGGATGTGTTTTCGATCAGAGAATTTTCAAGAGCTGTCATAATAATGTATATCTTTGTGACATCAATTGAATTTTGTTCACATACTATTTAGAAAACATAAATCTGCGTTATTCCTCAGCCATACACAACATGGCTATGACACTAATAATGACTATGACCATCATGCTATTGCACAGACAAAAACTGACACAGTGTGTTACATTTCGTGATATAAATTATTTATTTACATTTACAGAAAAATGACCTCATCAAGACAACGTAGTAATAACTATTGGAAATAGAACCCAAGATACAGTAGCTGACGCCATTGTCACAACCAAACAGAGAGCTCTATAATAACATTGTGCCCTCTGTCACAGGTCTCCTATAACACAAGGTGCAAGGCATCACGTGTAGCCCCCCCACCCCCCTCCCAGACTGAACACACACTGCAGTTAAAGCCCGTTACCCTGCTTTGCACTACCCCGGTTTGCTTGTACCCCTCATCTACAAACAGCAGACGTCGGCTAGCCCTCCACTACCAAAGCGCACACATCTAAGAGACACTCACACACACACACACACACACTCACATTCAGTGTCCTCAATGGTCGCAACGCTCCCCTCCCCTCTCCCGAGAATACTTCTGTTTTTTCCAGAAGAAAAAAAGAACCGAAAAAGAAAAAAGATGGTGCAAGGAGTAATGTCAGCATTTGAAAAAGGGGCAGAAGGGGAGACTGGCTGATGACAACATCATTCCAACGTGCGGGCGTCATCTCTGCCCGGTGTGCCGGCCGCATCGGTACAATGCCACCGTCCTTCGTGGGCATTTGGGATATTTCGTAGTGGGAGAGAGGGCGAGGAGTGTGGGGAGGCAGATCCTAACTGTCAGGGTTGGGCTACAAAGGAGAACATCTAATGCCACAGTGCCCTGCAGCTTGTCGGGGGGACTCTGTTCCTCGTGTGTGTGTGTGGGGGCTCAGATAAGTCGAGTGGAGGCTCGCATGGTATTCTCAGAACTGAAGTGGACGTTGTTCTGCTTCTGACGGTTAATCCGGTTGGTCCGCGGGCACTTCCTGTACACCAAAAAAAAAAAAGCTAATCGATGTTTGTGTTGATATAAAGATTCTTCATTTGTGATTCATGGCATTAATTATGTTTTCTAAAACCAAACTGTGATGTTAAAACTGTCCTATTGTTAAAGTCGAAAATCCTGGTTTAACCCTGAAATGCCAAATGTGTCATATCTGATTCATACGGTTTCTGAAATGTTTTGCGTCTGACACCTTTTGCATAATATAATGGTAAAACCTTTGCTCAAAATCCTATTGTACACAATCCGATACACCTGATAACAGGGGGCAGAAGACTACACAAAAAATAATCTTGACCTATCGCATAGTAATAAATTATTAATAATAAAAAATGTATTTCTGTTTTTTCTTTTTACATATTTTGTTAAAAGGCCAAATAAGGAATTCAAACCCCCAAATTTTGTTTTATTCTTGGATCAGGCTTTAAAGGGTTAAGAATGCATCTTGCACAAGTAAACAACCTGCAAGGTGAAACCCAGAGCAAAAAATGTTAACATAGCACTCACCACTGCTTACCCTCCTATTCTAGTGATGTTGGATGAAATGTTTTATTTCATAGTCTTGAGTTATTTACTCTTAGTAAAGTAATTTGTAAAGGTTGAGGTTCTGGGAACTTGGAAAACCACATGGTAACAACATGGTTGGAATGACAATACTCATTACGTATCGAAATGTTTTGTTTTTAAGGTTTCATAGATGTGAAATAATGCCATACATAATGCCATACACATACACATACACTGTTTATTTTTTAAGCGAATATTTATTAGGCAAAAACTCTATAAAGCCCAGGCTGCATTCATATAATGCAGTAAATAAGATCCAGCAGCTCAGTCTGTCCTTGAGAGATCACATGACCGATTAGATTCATTAAGGTGAGAGCTTCATGTCGAACAGAGAGTGTCTATAAAACTGAGTTTTAAGAAATATTTGTTGAAAAGACATGGCTGAACTCCAGGAGACATTAGTGCCTCTGTGACTATATTCAGTACAATAAATTCACTGTCTTATTTTTCTTCTCTAGTGACCTTCTCACCCTGCTTCTTTACAACTGTTCCCTATCTCCTTCTTTCCTTCCTCCTGCTCCTTCTCCTTTGCACAGAGGAGCAGTACTGTCTTGGCCAAAACTCTCTTAAAATATTTTATTAAATGTCATAAACTGCTATGGTCAGCTGGTGGTGGACAAGCTGTAGGCTGCATTACAAATTTGTGTGTGTGTGTGCTTCTTTTGTGGGACCATGTGTGCATATGAAAGTATGGGTTTTATTTTGAAACCATGATGCCTGTAAACATCCAACTGCTCAAACTGCCTTGGATATGTGTGTCTGTGCATGTGTGCGCGCGCAGTATATTTTCAGATGTGTCTGGGTAAGCGTGGGTCCTCGGGGAAAGTGACAGTGCATTCTCTCAAGCAAAAAAAACTAGGTGACCTTTCTGCTGTCTCCTCCAGGCTCCATAGCTTTTGATTCCCAAATACTCACAAGACTGATAATATTCCAAGAAGCCTCATTATGATTGTATGTTTGCATTTACACAAAAAAATTAAGACAAAGCCCATAGTTTAGTGTCCAAAACTACAATTCCTCATGGTATTTTGCATTTTTATATATGTTTATACAGTGGGGGAAATAAGTATTTGACCCCTTGCTGATTTTGCAGGTTTGCCCCCTTACAAAGAATGCAACGATCTATAACTTTAATCATATGTACATTCTAACAGTGAAAGACAGAATCCCAAAGAAAATTCCAGAAAATCACATCATACGAATTGATAAAAATTGATAACCATCTGATGAGGAAATATAGGCATTCTTTGTAAGTGGGCAAACCTGCAAAATCAGCAAGGGGTCAAATACTTATTTCCCCCACTGTATATATAAATGTATAAAAATATATGTACATATATGGAGGACGGGCAAATAGTAAACTGGAATATTCAAAATGCAAGTTACGTGTCTTAGTGTCTTTTTGACCATGACTCACCTGGTAATGCAGAGCACCACCACGCAGATGATGACCACCTGAAGTGCCCCGATGATGGAGGCGATGAGGACATAGTGCAGTTTACCTGAGCCAGGCACCACATAGAGCACGTTATACTCTTTGATGTCGCACTTCGGGCCCCTGAAGCCTGAGTGACAGCTGCAATCACACACAGGAATAAGAACAGAGAGGCAGAAAGTGGGTCATTAAAAAAAAAAAAAAAAGGTTAATAGGTTTCTGTGTTTCTAATTGAAACGTCAGTACATGTCTAATAATGACATTATGGTTCCCGTTTATATCTGTATGTTGAATATTTTGATTGAGTGACTGATGTGGCTTCTAGTGGAAGAATAAAAAAGTATTCATGTGTTCTCACATACACTTTATCAGTGGGTAGAAAATATATATCAGTCTGTCTTTGTTATGCACTCTACCACTGGAATCATAATACTAAGATTTAAATCATATTGATTATAATTGATACATTGTGATTATCAAATTGATTTTGATTAGTTTTTTTAAGTCAACATGAAGCCAAAATGGTTAATGTATAGTGACTTTTTAAAATGTTTTATATATGCCAGGGATTTTTTGGTAAATATACAAAATAGTATTTCTATTTATGTAGGGACTGACGATAAAGTGACAAAACATTAAATAACTTTGGTTTAAATTGTGTTTAATAGAGTACTGTACAACAAAAAACGAACCGCCCAACGAATCACTCTTTTTGATTCAAAACTGTCATTATTAATTACTTTTTCACATTTTCATTTTCTGACAAGCAGACATTTTTTAACCTTTTCATAATAAACTACGGTTGTTGTTGTAGTTGCTGGAGTTGTGGTTTATTGCTTAACACATGACATACTTTCTAATATAAATCCAACACAAAAGCTTAGCTCCATGCAAGCCATCCTTGAGCAGATGTGCAATTTAACAAAAAGAAAATCAGATGATTAGAGCTGAAAATGTGTTCAAATCCTGAGTATTAGTTCTCTGCTGCTCATAAGAATTAATATGAAAAATTCAGAGTATGACTTATAACCTTTTTCTCTGTTTGATCCCTTTTCTTCTTCTCTGCCCTTTGAGCATCAACCCACTAAACTATTAATGGTGGTATACGACAACATGTGATGTCATTAAGTATGAAATTACTGTACAGTAAAGAATGAGCTGTAAACAAGGTGCTTCAGGCGCCAGGGATCAGCATCTTCTGTAGGAGAGATTAACTCCCTTTTATTAGGACTTTATGATTTGTAGCTGGGCATTAATAAAAAAGAAGTAAAACACAAAAATCTAAATTAAACACTGGGGGGATAAAAGCCAGTCTAACAAGAAACAATTCAAATGTACCCAGCAGAAACTTGTTTACTGCACTCAAACTCCGGATGCTATGCTTTGGCCAGCGTGGTCTGGACCTGGTCCGAGAAAACACACCCACACACGTACACACACACACACAGAAACACACACACACGCAGACTAATGGAGATGATCTTTGTTTTCAGATGAGCTAAAATGGTCTCCCCTTTTTGTCTGTCTTCCTTTTCCAGCTCTCCTTTATACCTGCTTTTCCTGTCTCTGGGGAGGTTGTTACCTACCAACACCTGCGCATCCTTGTTTAGCACACACGCACACACACACACACACACACACACACCCCACACACACACACAAACAGACTCTCCTTTACTTTCACGATCCCCTCGACCTGACAGTGTGAGATGAACGTCGCAACCTTGTTCTGTTTGGGGGGGATGTGCTCAGTTCCCACACGGATGCGTAAACACACAAACACAAACGCACGCGCACAACCCGCGCGCACGCAAATATTACAGACCGCCGCTTTTTTGCCTCATTAGGGTGCAGACGCTGTTTCCCCTCACCAGCAGGGCGCAGCAGAGACCCTCCACGCGTTCCCCGTCTTTATCAGCTCTGCTCTGTATGCACCGAGAATATATCTGGCTGTGCAGGCCGGGATGATCGAGGTTAGAGAGAACTAAGAGCGCCAGAGGGGGGGCCAGGGACATCAGGACCCCCCCGGCTACGGCGCTATCAGGCTGGAAAAAGATGGCAGGCGCGAGTGGCACACAGGTGCACTCAGTCTGTGTGTGTGTGTGTGTCATTACGGGGCCTTTGCATTATCGCCATGTCCACGAAATCTGTGTCGAAGTGTGTATTTGCGTGTGTGTGCACTGTTATATACACCCGTTTACCTCTGCAGGTAGCTGCAGCTGTGTGCGTAAACAAGTGCGTCTGCATTTGACGTCGCCAACGATTTGCATTGATTCTACTCTTACGAGGCTCAAATATGACCAAAAGAAATCTTTAAGGGGGACATGTTGTGGAAAATAGCCATAATCTCTGGTTGAGATGGAATATTTGAGAGTCTCAAGTCCCTAGCAATATATATATATTAGTAGTACACTAGTAGTCCACTGCTCCACTACAGACAAAAGGAAATGTAAGTATTTGAAAGTCAAGTATTTATCAGTTTGGCGTTTAGTTTTGTTATTTACAGTCTGCACTCTCAAACCTGTAATAACATGCTCCAATGGTCATTAAATACTACAGATCTCAAAGGAGGCAGACTCTGAGAAAGACATGGACTGAGTGGAGTCAAGTGGGCTACTCTACACCCAACAAAAGTATTGTCTAGAATAGAGGTGTAAATGAATGGAAGTTAAATGAATCGCTTGTGTGTTTTTTCCTTTTTTTTCTCTGATCTTTTTTAATCTAACCAAAGCAAGTCATGACTCAGCCCCCAGGAAACGGTGCCAGCTCGTGAATAAGAGCATCATGCGCCTCCTTTTTTTTGTTGAGGACAAACACGAACATCGTGCAGTTCCTTGCTTCAACATTACCCTCCTGTAAAGCAAATATGGCCGATACACACTTACAGCGATAAGATATTTTAGTTTGGCTATTCAGCAGCTGAGAGCTCAAGTCAGATGCCAACTTTAGGCATGAAACTTTTGTGCTGTATTATATTAATTCCCATTTTGAATAACAAACCGAAAAAAGATGAAGTGAAGGAGTAAGAGTTAGAGCTGAAAAGATCCAATAAATCGAATTCTGTAAACTACAATCCTGCAGTGAACACAATAAAGAAGGTGCCTCGTTTGATAGTAATACCAACAATGATTTATTACAGTAGGTCCTGTACACAGTTATTGCTCACTAATAAAAACAACAGAGCAAAAACGTAATGCGGTGCTAACCAAAACCACAACATGTTTTCCTTAATAACCACAAAAAGCAGTTCTCCAAATTTGCAGGTTGCATACAAGTTGCTCAAATCTTGAGTCAATAAATCAAAATCAAAAACAGTCAATCACCAATCAAGTAATCAAGTAAGACTTTAAAAGACTGTCTAAACAACGTCTTGTTTCCAGAGGAAGAGGTGTTGAGTGAGGTGTTGGAGAATTGTTAATGCTATATTCCATTTGCCTCAAAAGTTGGAACTCAAAATGATGTAACCTGAGTTGGCAGTGCTTTAATTGGAAGCTGGAAAACTAACGCTTTGCTCATTATTGGGCTTACTTCACCTTGCCAGCTATTATTAGAAAAAAATAAACAACATTATGCTCTTTTTTGCCCATTCAAACATCATGGGCATAAGTTCACTGGTGGGGCTCAGACAGTACTTTGTGTAGGGGGCAAAGTCGGGTAAAAACAACAACTCTGCTCTTAGATTTCTTGCGACTGACAACCTGTACAGCTTTTCTAAACTTTAGATTACGAGACGAAAAGTGTGCAGAATACACTCATCATGGTGTGAGTTTGGGAAGTACTTATATCTCTGGCCCTGTATTTGCTGTTGTTTCCGATATAAATACCAATTAGGTGAGATGGAATTGTTGCTCAAATAAGAGATAATACAGCCACTTGTTGGTAATTTATGTTGACGATCAACACATTATCTGTATTCTTCCAAATTTTATCAACAATAATAAACTGAAGACTTGAGGCGAATGTGCTATAATAAGGAAAAAAAACGCATTTAAGATAAAGAAGTTTAAATGAATCACTCCCCATCCGGTAAATGACTTTAAATCAGCATCAGCAATGAATATTTAATGCATTTAAAGTGGGAAAGCTGTTAAATAAATCAGGTTTTTATCTGTAATTGCATGTGAGTGATTCTTACAGTATCTGTGATCACCAGCTGCTTTAAGTTCCTGCTTTGGTTCATTAAACCCCCGCAGCTATCTGAGGGCAACAGGACAGATATATTGATAAATCTGCAGCTTCTGATTTGAGAAGAGCATCACCAGAGCACAGAGCTATTGAGCACGGCTGTTCAATCGCGTTTGACTGCGCAACATCACTTGACTGAGACAAAGTCTTCCAACATCCCGCGTTGTGCTTCAGACTGCTTGTGGATTTTCAGCATGTCACAAATACTTTTTCACTAGATTTTGGAGAGAATTATATGTTTTTATTTCGAAAAGCATTTTTAGACGTATCACACAATGATACGTCTAAAAATGATAAATGACGTGATGGGTCAATTTTGACAATTTTGCCTCTAGGAAATTAACCTGGAGTGGTTTACTAGTCATTAACTTTACAATATTGCATCCTCTGGATTTGTTTCTTTATCATTATTCACTTTGTGCCAATGTGCACCATATATCAACTTCAAGACCATGGCTACAGTTCCTTTGATTTCCCAGGGTTTTTTGGGTTGAGTCTAAACAATTCTCCTTCTCCCTCAGCATTTCTTATTATGTGCTACGTGTCCTGTGTGGAATGTTGAGGATAAATAGAGAAAAGTGTCATGTTAGTATCTTAAGACAGGTAAACCAAACCGTATCTCTGTTGGAAGTTTGCTGCAAGTCACTTTAAGTATCTTTTCTTAGTTAAATCTTTTAAAAAATGTTTCATAGTTTTGCACTGTCCTGTGTGCATAAAGGGGTAATTCATCTTATTGATGCATGATGTAGGTGTATAGGCCTGCCTTTGGAAATGGAAGCTTACTCAGTCTCAGTTTATTAATTTCAGTCAGACCAAAAGCAAAACTTATACTTAAAGTTCTGTCTTTGTTTGAGAAAGACCATCCTTCTTTTAACTCAATGCCATGCGGAATGTTTAGGCGGCGATTAACATCCACAAAGATGCCAAAGATGCCAACAGAACACCGAATTGTTATGAGCATGGCTACAAAGTGGTGGTTTTATTGTTGCGTTTACCCTGGGCTTTTGCACTTCGTACAGCTGCACAATTGCAAACCACGTAGGGCATTGTGATTGTGGATTCCCACACAGAAAATAGAACTGGGGATCATAATCCTTGGGCCAGGGAACACCGGCAACTTCATTAAGCAGCAAGAAATTCAACATGCAATTCATTTGAAGCAGACAAGCCTGTTTGAATGGTCAACAGCCCGTCCTACTGCAAGGCTACAGCAGGAAGAATCACCAACAACCCCCACCCCCCCCCCCCCCCCTCTCTCTCAGCACACAGTGATCATATTCATTCAAGATAAACAAGCCTGATTAGAAAATAAATGGGCTTCAGCATTTTGCCTCGCGATTGCTAAATTTCACAGCCGATTAGCCATCTTACATTACACGCTATCTTTTAGTATCTACAGATCAGAGAAAAGATCAACAAATTATGAGTAAGAAAAAGGGTTTGTTTATTACCAGAGTGATTCTATAAATATTAAAGTTTGACTGTTCCCAAAAAAAAAAGGATATTCTGCCCGTAATAGCAATATAACCATAACATCACTGATTGCAAGCTATCAAAAGGCCGTTTATTTAGCTTAATAATCAATGATCCTGACTTGATTTTTTTATGCAATAATCATGCCATAAGCCGTCCCGTGTGTGTGCGTGTGTGTGTGTGTGTGTGTGTACCTGCAGGAGGGCTGGGCCAGAATACTGGGGAACTGGCACTCTCCGTGGACACAGTAGTTTTTGTAGTGATCAGGGCAGGGGATGTACAGGCCGCGGGCCAGCCCGTTACTTGGGTCATCCTTTTCCCCCACTGGGCAGACATAAGGACACCACACATACAGACACACACACACACACACACACACACACACAGGTAAATGGTAAATACACGTGCGCTCAAGGCCACCTATGTTCTAGACAAGTCACCGATTTTTTTTTCTCCTAAGAGATGAAAAGAAACTGCGGATGAAAGATTGATAAAGAGAGGAGAAAAGTCGGAGAACAACTCTGATTCAGCTCTGACTGACAGCCCGTTATTGCCTAATCCGCCACCATTACAGGAGCACTCACCCGTGAGGTCGGTCCGCGCGAAGTGTCCATCGTCTTTGTTCCCGGTGATGATGTCGCCTGGAAAGGCCAAAGACACATTAAAGCTGATGTCAGGTCACGGCAACCTCTCCTTGAGCTCCGGTCCAATCTATCGTGTGCTCCACATTCAGTATGATGCCATTTTAGAGGGAGAGGGGTTGAAGGTAAATTAGCATTTCGACAAAAGCTTAATGCAGAGTGCACTTGTGTGCTTAATACGTATAAATGCAAACCATTCTCTTGAAAAGTCAGAAGCACTCTGCTCTAATGTAAAACATTCTGAACAAAGGAAGCAGAGTTGGTGGGAAAGATCAGAGGGAACAAAGTATTTTTCACACTTTATTGAAGCACTGACTACATTGAATTCTCTTTTTTCCCTGAATGTCTACTAAATCTTCTCAATGATTTTAGCAGAATGTTTCTTTTCTGAGAGGTATTTCAATTCGTGCCATGAATTTGAGACATTTATGATATAGGGAGATGTGTCCGGTTCTTTGACAGTTAATAATTTTTTCTTATCTTTTCATGATCAATGCATAAATACATTTCTTTTGTTTGGTTGTAAATCTAGTACCAGAGATGTAATAAAAGAAGAAAAGATGCACCTCAATGAGGTCAATTGGGCTTTTTGTGACAAGCACCCTGTTACATAATTATAAAAATGTTCTAATTTCTTTACTTTCATATTTGAGAAAAGCCAAATAACCAAGATTGGAAGACATAAACTCAACATTTCTCGTTTTTTGGATAAGGACTACTGTACATCCGGCAAATTAAAGCTTTTTTTGCAATAGTATAAACATAAAGCAGTAAGGTAAATTAGTTCTGACCAAGGTTTTGTTTCATTTTTAAAAACTCTAAATCCTAACGTTTCACCCTTTAGTTATTAATGAAACAGCATGTGAGCATGTGTAATCAAATCGATCAGGACGGTCTGACCCACATGGTGGGAGGAGAGCCAATTAAGATTGGTGTCCTACAGGTAGTTAGGCTTAATTTCTTTCCTTCGCTTTACTTTTTCAAAGGACCTCTGTGTGCCACGCGAAAGCATCGTCAGTCAAGTGACTTTTAAATCTACTCTCACGCAATTAAAACCACTTAGAACGAGTCCATGAATTACGCCGCTGAGTAGGTAGGTGTGTGTGCCCCAACCGCATGACATTTTGAGGCAGATCTTACAATATAATGGATGTAATGGAGGACAAATGAAGCGGCAGGTAGAAAAGACCTTGAATCAAAAGAAGCCAAATAAAACACATTGTTTGTGCCATTTTCTTTGGAGTAATTTATCCTCAGTTTAGTTATTATTTTTGGATGATTTTGGTTGTATGTTTTCATATAATATTTATGACTGCAGTTTCACTAAGTTATTGCTTTGCTAATTTATAATTGATTTTAGTTTAATCTGCATTTGTTTTAATGTTTAAAATGATCTTGACTAAATAGCCAATAGAAACTGACGCTGAGCGATAACGTTCGGAGCTCGCGCTTTTTGTCGAATGTAAACTGACGTTTTTTGTCTGTTTAGAATTTTCGGTAAAGACGGGGTGAACACTCCGTTTTCTACCGTCGTTAAAACCATAACACGCGTAGACTCGTTCTTTCCGTCAGACCGAGTGGTTATTTGCATTCATCAAAACGAAGAAATGGTCACCAGCCAAGAAAGGACATTTAGCCACTACACGCATCTTTGAAAGAATCTTTCAGTCATGGATTTCTGCAGATTCTAATACAATTGACGTATCCTTGAGAATCCTACACCAAAACAAAAAATCGAAATCTCCCAATGTAAAATATAAAAACTCCTCATTTAATTTATGTACAAAAACTGTTTAGCTCGCTCATTTGCCTCCATATCTCCACCTTGGTGTGAAGCCAACACCTGCTCAGAGAGACAGATTTACAGATCCCGCTGTGTTAGTGAGAGCTGAGCTGGGCCTTTTTTTAGCGTCAGTGTACACATGGATGTCTGTCTGAGTGTCGGACCTTGGCAGTGGCCCAGGTACTTGACTTCGATGCGCTCCTGCTTCTGACAGGACGCCTCCTTCACCTGGCAGGGGTTGTCATAGGAGCGACCGTCTGAGGCACACACCGGGTTGAAGCTGATGTGGGAACAGTCGATGTTGCAAACACACCTGCGGAAAATCCAAATGATATCAGAATGACACACTCCCTGGTACTGAACATATCAGTAACTCATTGGCTGCCAAAGACGTCTATAGACGTCTTTTATGTTTTTCAACACGAGTGGCTTGGGGGACGATCGGCTAAAGCTTGTCCGTAAATATCGGCTTCTAGACAGAGTATGTACTAGCAAATTGACCCTCTAGGATGCAGTGCCACTTTTGATGGGAGATGAGCATAGACTGTAGGCAAATAAGAAAAACGTAATGGTTCGCTATGCGAAAAATGGCGCCGGTGAGACGCAAGTCGAGGAAGAACGGAATAAGGTAGAAAAAAAAATTTTTTCCTGATGAAAGAAGAGAGTCTACTCTTTCTTTTGGTGTGTTCGGTGTTTACATAGTCATAGCACAAACTATTCTGTGGCTCTTGAAAAATCAGTCAAAATGCGCAAAAAACTCTGGCAGTATGGGACTCTCTGTTCTGAAAATGGCTGCCAGTCAATGAGTTAACATCGTGTCTTCCATCCATCCATCTATTGTCCATACTGTTTATTCCTAGTGGGGATGGGGTAAGAGATCCAAGCCGACACATCAAACATCAATAAAATATAAATTAAGCATTGTCTGAGGCTTGGTGATACTTAGTAAATTAAAAGTCAGATTGGGAGAAAGCACAGAACAAATTGCACTCAGTCAGGATGAGCATGCACAGAAGTTCTGTTCAAACTTTTTGGCTCTTTCACATTGACACAGTAGCAAATGGCTTTAACTGCTAAAGAGGGACAGGCATCCCTGAAGGCTTGGCAGACAAATGGTGTTGTGTTGCAGCGACAGAAAGCGGTAATAATCAACAAACTGTTGTTAAAGCTGTGAAGTTTGAATTTGCATTGTAAATGGAGCAAAAAGTAAATTTTCAGTTGAGAAACTGACTTTAGACACAATAGAAAAGAGACTTCATGAGAAAAAAAGCATGCAAAAACATTGTTATTTGTAATAAATGCCTTAGAAGACTGATCACAGTCCTTTAACAAAAATCCACTTTTCCGAGAATAAAAAAAATGTAACTAACAAAGATCTATGTATCGGAGGGCGAAGCCCAATAAAAAGCCAGTTTGTCCACCTGCACGGTCACTTGTGAATTAACCAGGTTTTGTGCTTTGAACCAAATTTTCTTTTTTTACTTGCTTTCATTCCGCCATTGTGTTTTCACAAACTAATACCTTGGATTCAGGAGCTTTCTTGACAATTTTATTTTGCTCGAAACAGTTTAGGTTTGGGTGCTATTTGCACATATCCAATGTGGGTGGAAGACCTTGTACACCTACACATGTAGGTCATTGTGTCTATATTCTGGCACAAGTGTAGTGCGACCCTTATGGAGGGCGTGATTATCAGAAAGTGCACAAAGATTGCCTTCCTCAGACAGTTACTGCCGTGCCATGCTGATTGCAAGATTTTGTATTTATAAAGCTGTTAATACTCTCCCAGTCTTTTTCTTTTTCTGCTTCTGTGAAGCTCTCGGTAAAACACAGACATTCAGATGTCTCCCCGATGCATTTGCATACGTGCCCACCAACACATAAACGTCCCCCCCCCCCCCCCCCCCACCCACACACAAACAAAAAAACAAACGCACACACACTTTCACAATCAGCCGTGATGATTTGCAACTGCTGACACTGATGTTGATTGAAAAGCTGTGGAGCAAAGCGTGGCAGAGCTCAGCCACTGCTGTAATGATGGATCAGCAAAGTCTGAATGATGTGAGGGAAAAGCTTTGTTATGCATCAGAGAAGAAGCAGTCGCGGAAAAAGCCGGCAAATCCCACGCGACACCTAAGGTGAGCCGTCACATCAATGGATGACCTGCCTCTGCAGAGGCTTACACAACCAGTTCCGTAATATGATGATTTAAAACGACATTTCAGTCATATTGCACTGAAGGCCTGCTTTTCTCTCTACTGTAATAACGGCTGTGACAATGACAAGAAGGAACATCGATGCAACACCATAAACACTACAGAGTTTAAGAAATTCACATGGAATTGATACAGGAGTTAAAAAAACTCTGTTCTTAAGAGGAAAAAAAAACTACACTGCACTGCCATGGTGGCTCTTTGTGTTTGGACCCTTTTAGTCCTTTTTTTAACTTTTGAGTCAACAAATGATCTACTACTAAGATGCATAATATTAATATGTGTGAAGCATTCAGGTAATACATACAGAAGAGTACTTAATTGTGTCTAATTCATTGTCATTTGTTATTGTTATTTGGTCTTTTGGGCCATTTCTGGTCTTTTGGGTTAGGTTTTTTAAAATCCTTTTGATCAGTTTAGCATGTCGTTCTGCCTCTTCAACACTGGACACATTTTCATGTCTCGATCATTGTCTCCCTGAAATGTGTCCCTGACTCAAAACTTTCAACCAACCAATCAATGGATTTTTAAACCAAAATAGGAAAAAACGTAATACTTTTCTTGAGCACTGCATGGCACCCCTGAATCTAATCATAGTTTAGTGTGTGGCCTTATAATACAGTTATCAATATTAAAATCAAGAAAATCAGATAAGACACCAGATAAGAGGTAACAGTAGTAGATATCAATTTAAAAAGTTGAATTTCATCTTATGGTTCCAAAATTAAAACTTCAACTTCAATAACAGTCCAGTTTTTCTTTGAATTTAGAGATTTACCTTTGTGGCTAATCTGTGCAGAGGGATAGATTTATATCCCAACCCTGAATGTATTATGATAGATAAAAATATTCAACAAGCAAGATCCCCCCCGCCCTCACATACACACACACACACACACACACACACATCTGCTGAAATCGAAATGATCCGGATAGCTACACTTTACTCGAGGAAAATGAGGAAAAATACTTTTGTTATGTGGTTTAACCTTTAAAGATTATGCAACACTTAGCAAAAAACCCCTTAAGAAAAGATTAGGCCCATGATTAGAGTGTCCACGTTATCATAAATACTATCTAAATGAGAGTAGTAAGAACATGAAAGGAAGCAGCGAGGAATCGAATCAAAGCAGAAATCTTCTGAAGCAAAATGAGATTTCCTCACACACAGCAATTAAAGAAACAGAGGACATCTTACAGGCTCCACATCACATGCGTGTCGTCATGCACACTAACCACCACCGATCCCCCAACACAGAGAGGCTTTGCATCCCGAGAGGACGCCGTTTGGTTGGTGGCTGATGCCTGGCTTCCATACATTTTTAATGAGGCCTCTCACTTTCTCCACAATAGGCACTATACCATCCGACTGCAGTGCGTCAACACATCCCAGTGCTGCCCACAGACGGGCGTACACAAACACATGCATGTAGATGGCACAAATTGCCTCTCCACAATCCTTGTTTTAGCTCCCTTCTTCGCTCGCGCAAGCCAAATAATTCCTTCACACGTTCTTGCTGAGATGTGCACAGGGGCGGCGGAGAAGTGTTAAATGAAAGTTATCAGAGACTGTTTGTGTGTGTGTGTGTCTGAATGTGTCTAATAGCCCCGAAGTGTGCGCGTGTGAGTGTACTTTCTTAGCAGGATGTGTCGTATTGATTAGTTCCCTGCGATTTCCCTCCAATCAAAGCCTCCCCACCTCCAGACTGTCTGCAGGCTCCCAACTGAAAACGCTGCTTTTACACACATTTCGACACTTACGCACATCCACGCACACACAAAGAGCAGCTAAGGCCAACATATCCACTAACTGCCTCCTGTTGTGTACAAATCCCCAGAAGCAAACCTCGTTGCAAACGGAACATAGCATTGATTTTCATAATCCTTAGCCTCAAATTTCACTGTAATCCTTTGAAAAACTGAGTGAGAGGCAAACAGACAAACAAGGCGAGAGAGGCAGAGAACCACTGTGACAGGGATAACAAAAGAGTAATGTTGAAGAAGCAAGAAAAAAAGAAGAAGCAAGAAAAAAGAAAATATCCAATACAATAAAAAAACAAACAAACACATCCACCAGAATAACACCGCAGTTCTTTGTGATACTAAATGTTAATAGTCCAGAGATCATTGATGGATTGCATGCGCTGCACTGGGCAGGAGCAAACAGTGTGAAGTCCCATAAACTCCAGCAAGGAGCTCCTTCAAACAACAGATTGAAGACAAATGTCAGACGAAAGATATCTGCAAAGTAGAACAAGCTACCTACACAAGCAGACACACTCATCATTCAGGCAGTGGCAAATGTCAGCGATAACAATAAGTCCGCACGGTGTTAGGAAAAACTTCTGATTTTCAACACTGTCTGTTAAATATTGCTTCAATTTGACTTCTGATGCACAAACACATACTTTAAAAAACATCAATAACCTCACTTTAGAGCTCGCACAAAGGCAAAACCTCCCTAAAGTGCAATGCATCTGTCCTGGGTACACCTCTGTTATATATTTTTAGTAGAGATTAAATCGCTTTGCCATACTGACATTTTGCAGGTTTTTAATAAATTATGCAGCACTAGACAACACACAGAGATTGCTACTGATACAAATATTTTAGTGCCCTCCATATTCTAATTGGCATACTGGGAATTCTCTAAAAGCGTCAAACAACACATTGCAGGACTTAACTTTTGTATTAACAATTACACAATGATTCATGTAAAGAAAAATTCCAATGTAATGATCTTAATGCAGGTTTGACTAGTTAGTTTCTTCGATATTTTAAGATTTTACTTGCAACTTTGTCAGTCGGATATAAAAAATGCTAACAAGTATAAAAAGATATGTTTTTTTCTGACTGGTATCACTTCAGTTCTTGAAAGGCTAAGCAAAGGCAACCCATAAAGCAGGTAAACTTCTTAGAATAATGTCTAGACTCTTTTTTTGGACTAATGGAGGACAGACGATGGCACAGTTGATCTTCGTTTCAAATTTTCTTTTGTCATCTGGAAAACATGATGCCAGTTCACAATTTTGGGGAACAACTAAATCCACTTTGTCCCAACATTCCACCTGTTTGAATATTCTGTAGGCTGCATTGT